AGCTGCCGCTTTCCATAGTGGCAGCGGAGCCTGCGTGGCCCCCATCCAAGGAGAGTCGACAGGCGCTCTTCGTCGCTCGCTTCTCGGGCAGCAAGCCCTGTTCTTCCAATCCTCCCCGCTCTTCGCCCTCGCGGGCTGGGCGCGGCAGCGGGGGGCCGGGCGGGCGCCCGGCCGCCAGCGGACGAAGCCCCTGCAGATCTTTGACACGATAAACGCCAGGATCCCCGGGCAGGAGGGGGGAGGGCGAGGGGGTGTTTCCTGGGGGGGCGCAGATGCTGACTGGGCCCGTTGGTTTGCCCAGCAGGGGCACAATCGCAGCTCGATGCGCGAGCGGCCGCGTCATGTTGGAATCCGTGAGGTCGCGGCTCGCCAGTTGGAGCAGCCAGGCCGAACGCGCCTCGGCGGGGAAATGCGGCACCGTTCGCGCCGACCTACTGGGGCGACACCACTGCGAGATCTTCTGGTCGACAACGGGGAAGATGTCCTGAACGATCGGGGGCCCCAGATATACCGAATGACTTGCCTCTCACTTGGGGCGCAAAAGGGCATGCTATTCGTTTAGAGCCATGCATGAAGGAGCTACAGTGGTGGCCCAGTACCACCAGGGCGCTAAAGACGCAGCATGGGAACCTCATTTACCGCCACGTAAAGGACGACCTCCATATTATCACCAACGAGCTTGCCGAGGAGCAGCTGTCCGACGGAGATAGCGGGCAGGTTGCGCTCAAGCATCTAGGAAAGGCTTTCGCGAAATATCAAGGCCGCAGGCCCCCAAAGGCGTTTGAGAAGTTGTTCTATTCGAGCGAACTCGTGGTGCCCGACGCTGCGTGAACGTTGCCTGGGAAGGCAATCCCTGACTTCCTGCAGATGAACCGTCAGAAGACCCCGAGGCAGCAGACGCTGACATGGCCCTGCATGACTCGGACCTAGATGCTGACCGAGAACCACAAGAACCACCTACAGAAGAAACGGAGCTTCAGCCAGTTGGCTGACAGTCACGGCGCACCAGGACTTGCTCGATTGGCACCACAGAGCACTGACCGACAGGTGGGGCCGCGACTGGACACAGCATCTGTCGAACCGCAGAGCGAGACAGCGTCTGGCCAGACCCCCGCGCTGGCCACGCCAAGGGGGGCATCCTCCGCGACGGAGCGAGGTTCGGGAATGCCCTGGCCCGCCAATGCGGCATCATATCTACCACCTTCAGCGCCGACCACTGCTGCGCCAGCGCGAGACCACTGCTGCGCCAGCGCGGATTTCTCGTGCACGCTCCGAGAACAACATGAGCAGGATCCGCCACCTGCTGGGCCAGAACAGGATGGCTGCTGGCCAACAGGCGATATTGTTCCCTACCTAGACTCTGCCTCGAGGGTTCTTACTCTCTTTCTTAAAGGGGCCTGGCAGTGCACGCCGCCCCGGGCAATTCCCCCAGTGTCCGCCCCGCGGTTCCCGCAGCCCCTTGGGAGCTGTAGTTTTAGCTTTAGCTTTAGCTTAAGATTAAGCTTAGCTTGAGCTTAGCTTTAGCTTTAGCTTAGCTTTAGCTTAGCTTCAGCTTAGCTTTCGCCTAGCTTTAGCCTAGCTTTAGCTTAGATTTAGCTTAGCTTGAGCTTAGTTTTAGCTTAGCTGTAGCTTAGCTTTCGCTTAGCTTTCGCTTAGCTTTCGCTTAGCTTTAGCTTAGCTTTCGCTTAGCTTTAGCTTTAGCTTCGCTCGAGCTTAGTTTTAGCTCTAGCTTAGCTTTAGCTTAGCTTTAGTTTTGTTTCAGCTTAGCTTCAGCTTAGCTTTACCTTAGCTTTACCTTAGCTTTACCTTAGCTTTACCTTAGCTTTACCTTAGCTTTAGCTCAGCTTCAGCTCAGCTTTAGCTTAGCTGTAGCGTAGCTTTAGCTTAGCTTCAGCTTAGCTTTAGCTCAGCTTCAGCTTAGCTTCAGCTTAGCTTTACCTTAGCTTCAGCTTAGCTTTAGCATATGTTTAGCTCAGCTTTAGCTCATCGTGAGCTTAGTTTTAGCCCAGCTTCAGCTTAGCTTTAGCTTAACTTTAGTTTAGCTCCAGCTTAGCTTGAGCTTAGCTTTAGCTTAGCTTTAGCTCAGCTTTAGCTTAGCTTTAGCTTAGCTGTAGCTTAGCTTCAGCGTAGCTTCAGCTTAGCTTCAGCTTAGTTTTACATTAGCTTGAGCTTAACCTTCGCATAGCCTGGGCTCAGCTTTAGCTTAGTTTTAGCTTAGTTTTAGCTTAGCCTTATCTTAGCTTTAATTTAGCTTGAGCTTAGTTTTAGCTTAGATTTAAATTAGCTTGAGCTTAGCTTTAGCTTAGCTTTAGCTTAGCTTCATCTTAGCTTTAGGTTAGCTGTCGCTTAGCTTCAGCTTAGCTTTTGTTTAACTTTAGCTGAGCTTTAACTTAGCTTCAGCTTAGCGTTAGCTTAGCTTTATCTTAACTTTAGCTGAGCCTTAACTTAGCTCCAGCTTAGCTAAAGCTTAGCTTTAGCTTAGCTTTAGCTTAGCATTACTGTTACTACTAATGCTGCTTTCCTAGGGGCTCCATCTGAAGAGTTCAGTCAAGCAAACAGTGGATAAGAAGGAGAGCGAGGGATCACTGGCCTATGACACGGATGTCGCGGTCGTGGATGCGCAGATGGCAGAGCTTATAGCGGTCCGCCACCTGCGCGCGGGGTGCAACGCGTGCCAGGTGTGGACCAGTCTCCTGAAGTCACGCTCGGCAGACGACGCCTCGAAGATTGGCTCAGACTTGCAGCGCCCTTGACGGGGGGGCCGTCGCTGGCATTCTCCAGGGGTGCGCCGAAGGGGGCGACGTCGCGCCGCCCCTCGCTTCCCTTGTCGAGCGCGCGGAGCAGGCGGATGAGCAGACCGCGAGTGGCCCGCCATGCAACCCGAAAGGTCCGACAAGACCCCGCCCTGCAGATCGCTTCCATTTCTGGAACCCACCAGCGCAGATCCAAGAAGTGCCGAAGTTCGTCGATCAGGCGGACCTCGAGGACTTGCCGGCGATCGTGGTGGATCCCTGGCGCGAGCACACGGAAGAGGGCATCGACGCTGCGATCAACGAGGGCTGGAGGGAGCTTGTCGCGGAGGGCGAGTTGGTCTGGGATCGTTTTCTGGTCCGCTACCGCGATGTTCAGCCAGGGCAGGCACGATGGGGCGAATCGCTTCGTCGACAGCGCTCTGGAAGTCTCCGAGGCGGTGAAAGTGCCGCAGAAGCACGTGGACATCGGCCCCCAAGGAGACGAGGAGTTCATGGTGGGATTGACAGCTCTCGCGAACATTGAGAAGTACCTCTCCGTCACAGAACAGGTCGAATATTCTCTGGCTAGAAAAGGTGAGATTGCTCTTGGACCTCCGGAGAAGCACGCCTGTGCACGCTGGAAGAAAAGCTTCGAGCTTGTCAGGATTCGCAAGTCCGCCTATGATGATATGACGAGCAACGTTTGGAAGACTTGCGGCAAGGTTCCCGTCGAGAAGGAGGGCGCGGTCAACGCCTTGCCGCTACGACTGTTTCGGGCGCCGTTTCACTAGTGATTCGATTGGGGGTGCGGAACTCGAGTGCGGCCCAATGTGTGCCCTGGACCACTTGTGCGACAAGGTTGTGTGACCTTTTGTACGCGGCCCGATCACGCAGCTTACTGGAGAGCGGTGGTACATCAGTTCGGGCATGGCTGGCGTCGGGCATGCGATGAGTGAGCGAGCCCTCGCTGGCAGGAGTTCCGGCTTCAAGATGCCTTGCCCCGGCGCCAATGCGGCGGCTCTTGTTTCAATCTGGGGCAGTCTTGGCAGGCGCATCCTGAAAGCAGGACTGTTAGTCCTGATCATAAGTTCGGAGTCTACTGCGAGGGTGAGCAGCGCCGTGGCTGCCGTGCTCAGTACATGGTTCACGTGTCCTCCGACGTCGCTCCTGATATGGATATTTACTCATGTTTTTTAGAGATTGGAGCGTCGCGCTATCTATCCTAAGCTGGCCGTCCACAGGCAATGGTGCCAAGATGAACGCAGTGCCTACGTCATGAAGCTCGGGATCCACACTACGACGACGAGGGAGATCTACGACCATGTCCAGAGCCGTGAGCCTGTTTTCGGGTGTAACAAGCTATAGAATCGGACGGTCAGGATGTACCTTACGGCGGAGGCTTGCCCAGATGCTTTGTCCGAGTGCACATGCGTACTTTGGCGACGCGATTAAGGAGAACGATTTGAACCTGCCTAAGGGTTCCCCTCGGCCGCGCTCGTGCCAAAGCGCAACTGGTGGATTCCGCAGTGGATTTCGGAGTCTAGCGCCGCTGCTCGCAACAGGGAGCGCACTGGCAACGGCTACTGGCCGCCCAACTCCAGGCCGCCGGGCTTCATGCATGAAGTGGGCGAACCCGCGGGCGAGTCTGGATCGGATCATGGCGAGATGAATGTCCATCCTTGGGGAGATCTTTCCCAGCAGGCCTTTTCCACAGGTCTCTGTGCTCGCGTGGTTGGAGCGGCCGTTCGTCACGGATGACCTGAGGGCGACCTTCGAGATAGAGAGCATAAGGAGCGAAGGCTACGGTATGGCTGTGGGTACGTATATGAAACTTGTTGCGAGGTGAGGTTTCGGCTGAGCGTTCGGCCGTTAACAAAAAAGTCGGAGTTGTGTCTGTCATGTATATTTCACCTTTCCCTCCTCCTGCGCCCGCCTCCCCGCCCTGCGGCCGCATCGGATCGAGCCCCCGGAAAAAAAAGGTAAGAGCACGTGCTCTCTCTCTCTCTCTCTCTCTCTCTCTCTCTCTCTATATATATATATATATATATATATATATATATATATATATATATCAGCACGGGCCCCTCTACTTGCACGTCGTGTCTCTCTGTGTCCCATAAAGCTACCATCGTGCACTTCACAGTCGAGGGCCGAGGAGGCTTGGCATGCTCTTGGGCGACACTGGGGCTCCCGGTATGCTCTGTGGCCCTTCCAGAGGGGCCCCGCCCCAGCGGTGGCACCCCCGTGGCGCTGCCTGGCGGGCGCGAGCCTCTGGGCCGCCGGGGCGGGCGCGATGGCGAAGGCCCCGAACGACGAGGGGCTCGTGTTCGAGACGTCCGAGGACGCCGCAGAACCCTGCGATCCTGACGGGGGGGCGAAGTCCCTGAGATCCTGGCGTTGCAACTCTTTTGCGAACGGCGTTTTCGCTCCATGTCGGGCCCCGGGGACCCTCACAGAGCGATCCGGCTCGACAAGTAACGCAGAAGGATGGGGTTTGAGGCTCCGGGCGTGATTTTTTGCATGTTGCATTTTTTTTGGCAACGTCGGATCTCAGGGGTCCCAGACATCCGACGTTTCGATTTTTTCGAGGCTGGGGCCCCCGACCTCCCGACCACTTCCCCAGGACCCGTTTTTCGTCCCGGGTCGGCTCTGGACGGCCCCGAGGCCTGGCGAGGGCCCCGAGGGGCCGAGAGACGACGAAACGCCTCCGTTTCGATTTTTTCGATACGCCCGATGTCTGGGGTTCGAGGTTCGAGGTCTTCTGGCGCATTCGTCGGTTCCTCGGTGGCTTTGCCGCCTCGGGGTGCCTCTCCGCGGCTGCGCCTCGAGGGGAGGGCGCTCCCGGGGTGCCCAGGTCGTCCCAAACGGCCGCCAGAGAGCCTTTTTCTCCGTTCTCCTCCTCCTCCTCCTCCTCCTCCTCCTCCTCCTCCTCCTCCTTTGAGATCTTGGCGTCGCATTTTTTGTTCACAACGGGCGTGTTCGCCCGGTTCCGGGCCCCAGGTCTCTCACACATTGAGCCCGCTCGACACGTGGCGCAGGAGGATGGGGTCCAGCGTTTTCGCCTGGCTTCGGGCCCCGGGGCCCTCATAGTCCTCATAGATCGATTTGGCTCGACAGGTGCTGCAGAAAAATCGGATCGGAGGCTCTGGTCGTGATTTTTCGCGGAGCTGCAGTTTTTTAGCGACGTCGGATCTCAGGGTACCCTAAGGTCCGCCGTTGCAAAAACAAATGCAGCATCGCAAACATCACGACTGGACCCCTGGACCCAACCTTCCTGCGCCATTTTTCGAGCCGGATCGCTCTGCGAGGGTCCCCGGGCCCGAAATGGAGTGGAAACGCCCGGCTCTAAAGAGTCGAGCCGCCAGGATCTCAGGGCAGAAGAGCAAGCGGCACCAGCACAACCCTTCGGCAGGGTCCAGCGCAGGCGCCTCGGATCGGCGCCAGACCCACCCCCTCCCTGGCCGGCAAAGAGCACGCCGGGAGCGGCGCCAGAGGCGCTGCGAGGAGGAGTCCAGAATCGCGAGGACGTCCGAGAAACTCCTCCTCCCTCCTCCCTCCCTCCTCCTCCCTTCTCCTCCTCCTCCTCCTCCTCCTCCTCCTCGGAGGTCCTGGCGTCGCAATTTTTCCACATCAGGTGCTTTTCGCTCCATTTCGGGCTCTGGGAGCCTCACAGATCGATCCGGCTCGAAAAATGACGCAGGCCGATGGGGTCCAGAGCTCTTTGCGTGATTTTTGAGATGGTGCAGCTTTTTTGCAACGTCGGCTCTCAGGGTCTTGATTTTTTCAATACGCTCCCCCCCACCCTGGACTGCCTAGTTACTCTTTCCCCAGGGCCGGCTTTCAAGCCCGGGCCCCCGAGGGCCAGAAACGGCCACAAGCCAGTCGTGTTCTTTGTGAACCGATCAGAGCGTGAGCGAGCATGTTTGGGCCATGGAGGATGTAACTCCTGAGAGCTTCAGTTCAGCATTGGCGCCTGTATATCCTGAGTTGTCAACTAGCCTGCGCCAGCATACTCCCTTACAATTTCGGTTAACTCCGTGCAGCCCGTTCGAGTCCAGCTTGTTCCTGGGATTAATTTGGGCCGGACAGGTTCAATTGTTGTTTTTGTTATCGGGCGGATCGCCCAGGAGTCGCTTCCTAGGGTTACGATGCTGCTTCCAAGAATCGCTTCCTAAGGTTATGATGTTCATGATGGTTTTCCTCCCCCCCGAGGATGTCGAGGTGCTGCCCACCTTTGACGCCCTGGGCCTCAAGGAGGACCTGCTGCGGGGCGTCTACGCCTACGGCTTCGAGCGGCCGTCGGCCGTGCAGCAGAGGGCCGTCCTCCCCATCCTGAAGGGCCGCGACGTCATCGTGCAGTCGCAGAGCGGCACTCGCGGACGAGAAACGCCCCACACATCCCCAGACAGTCATGCTCGCGTGTTCTTGCGTGTGTATAGACATTTGTGTATGTATGTGTATGTATGTGTACGTATGTATGTACATGCCTACGTACGTACGTACCTATGCCTGTTTGTATGTATGTATGTGAATATGTATACACGTACGTACGTACGTACTTATGTATGTATGCATGCATGTACGAATTATGTATTTGAGTATGTATGTATGCATGTATGCATGAGTGCATGAGTGCATGCAGGATTGTATGCACATATGCATACATGCATGTATGTATGTATGAATGCATGTATGCATGTATGGATGTTTGTTTTGGTTGGTTTGCATGTATGGATGTATGTATATATGTATGTCTGTAGACATGCTCCTGTGAGGCAGCACGTAATCAGAATATCCTCCTCAACCGCCCGACGTTTGATGCCATTTGGGCTCAGGCGCTCGGCCGTTTCAGAACAACGGTTGGGCGCTGAGGCTGGCTCTTGGGCCGTGCGCCCTCGACGTCGCGCTGCGGCGGGTCAGTGAGCAAGGCTTCCTATGCGCCTGCAGTGTCGGAACCTGGGTCGCTCCCGCGGGCACGCAGCAAGAGGGCGAGCGGTACTGACGCGAGTAGCTGCAGGGTGGAGGGGCGAGCACGAGCGGCAGCGGAGCTCCATACAACCCTTCGTGATGGGAGCCTGGCCGACCCGCGGGCGAGTCATCCCCTTCATCGTTCGCAGGGCAGGACGATGGTGAGCGGCGTGACGTTCGCGAGGGGCTCGTGGGCCCGAGGATCACCCTCGGAGAGAGGCTGTATCCTCAGGTCAATGGTTCTGACGGCATCATCCGGTTCTCGGGCGGCCACGTCATCGCCCAGTACCCAAGCGTGTCCAATTGCTGCAAGGAGTACGGTTTGATCTCCGAGCTCGCCCCGACCTTCGACAATGGACTACTGGGTCAGGCTCGGAACCATGGGCTTGCAGGCCGAGTGGTACAGCATGAGGAGCTGGCAGACAATGAATTTCCGTTTTAGTAGGTTGTGGTCTTTCATTGCGTTAGATCTGCGGAGCTCGGGAAACATCGGGGCAAGACGGCCGTACATAACATCAGCCTGGAGGAGGAAGTTCTTGGGGCCGTTCTGACCGATGGGCGTCTGTATGCCACGGCCGACTTCACGATCGCTTTGGGCGGTGGCAACCACATCTCGCACATCTGCCCGCGCAGCAATACGCCCCCCCTCAAGCCGAAAAAGTTGGTGCGTTGCGTGGTGCTGGCGCAGCAGGATGCACTCGGAGGTGCCGCGGACAGCTTCCACCGGAGGTGCGCCAGAAAAAATTGCGGCCTCCTGTGGGGGGCGATCGGCGCCGACGCGTGGGAGCATCAGGCGATCGTTTTCAAATCATCGACAAAAGGGGCACGTCGGAGGCCAGCGACGAGGAAGTCGAGCCCACTGAACGGTCCCAGGAGCACGAGCCGTCCGAGCAACAGATAATGTCTACTTTGGTCAGGGCGGCCTTGAACAAGGGGGCACCCTGACCTTGTTCAGGGCGGCCAGGGTGGTCTCCACCATCCGCGCCCGCAATGGTGGCTGCGTCTCCCTGGCCGGCCCCGATGGGGGAGATCGGCGCGGTCGTAGAAGCCGTCGACGCCAGCAGCGAGGAGGCCCACAAGAAACTCAACCTCATCAAGCATGTGCCCACGCATTCGGAGGAAAGGATCATCATGACAGAGATCGGGCAGCTGGGCGTCCCCCCCCACTGCGAGGAATCGCGCTTTTCCTGGGGCGAGTTCGCGGGCAACTGCCGTTCTCTCCGCCCGCCAGCAGGGTGTCCCATCCTGAACCGTGAGGAGCGTGACAGGCTCCTCGGCTGCCAGCAGCCGTCCTTCGACATCGTGGGCGCCTGCGGCAACCCGAATGCCCGTCGGTCTGACAGGCGGGGGCTGGGGCCTTAGTTCGAGCTCCCTATGGGGCAACGAAGCGCTGTATTATCTGTTGAGGACGCACGCGGCCACGCCAACTGGAGTTTTCGGTGCAGGTCCCTATGGGCCCACGAAGCGCTGTATTGGGTGTGGCGGACGCATGCGGGCATCCCCACTGGGGCCTTCGGTGGAGCTCCTTATGTGACCACGAAGCGCTGTACTTTGTGTGGCGGTGGAGCTCCCTATGTGGCCACGAGAGGCTGTAATGTGTGTGGCGGACGCATGCGGGCACCCCCATTGGGGCCTTCGGAACTTCTTATGGTGCCACGAAACGCTGTACTGGGTGTGGCGGACGCATGCGGGCATCCCCACTGGGGCCTTCGGTGGAGCTCCCAATGGGGCCACGAACCGGTGTATTGGGTGTGGCGGGCGCATGCGGGCACCCCCGCTTGGGCCTTCGGTGGAGCTCTTTGTGGTACCACGAAACGCTGTATTGGGTGTGGCGGACGCATGCGGGCGCCCCCACTACGGCCTTCGGTGGAGTTCCCTATGGGGCCACGAACCGCTTTACTGGGTGTGGCAAACGCATGCGGGCCCCCCCTCCGGGGCCTTAGGTGGAGCTCCCTAAAGGGCCGCGAAGCGCAGTACTGGGTGTGGCGAGCGCACGCGGGCACCCCCAGTGCTCCCTATGAGGCCATATGGCCACGAAGCGCTGTACTGGGTGTGGCCGACGCATGCGGGCACCCCCACTGGGGCCTTCGGTGGAGTTCCCTGTGGGGTCACGAAGCGCTGTACTGGGTGTGGCGGACGCATGCGGGCAACCCCACACGGGCCTTCGGTGGAAATCCCTATTCGGGAGCCTTGAGACGGGGGTCAATACAGACGGGGGTCAGCCAAGGCGCCAGATCCTGCAGGATCCTGCGAAGACCCCCTCTGGTTGACCCGGGTTAGGGAGCCGCTCGTGGCCGCGAGGCGGCCGCACATGTTGACTGACCCGGGTTTGCGAAGATCTGCGTTGCAGTTTTTTTTCCTGCATTGCAGTTTTTGGTTTCCTGCTGACCCGGGTCTGGATTGACCCGGGTCAGAAGATCCCCGACCTTTAGGGTCAGAAGATCCCCGACCTTTAACCACGAAGCGGTGTGCTGCGTGTGGCGGACGCATTCTGGCACCCCCATTGTGGCTTCAGGTAGAGCTCCTTAGGGGGCCACGAAGCGCTGTACTGGGTGTGGCGGACGCATGCGGCCCCCCCCTGAGGGGCCTTCGGTGGAGCTCTCTATGGGGCCACGACATGCTGTACTGAGGGTGGACGCATCAGGCTACCTCCACTGGGGTCCAGCGGTGGAGTTCCCACTGGGTCCACGAACCGCTGTGCTGGGTGTGGCGGACGAGTGTAGGCACCCCCACTGGGGTCCTCGGTGGAGATGCCTATGAGGCCACGAAGCGTGTGAAGGATGTGCCGGAATGAGTGGCTAGGATGGTGCTGATGACAGCGATCATGATGACGATGATGACGGACCGTAGCCATGTTGGCTCAAGCCATTTTGGCTCAAGTTCGAAACGCGCGGCCTGGCGCTTCGAGCTTGGTCGCAGCAGAGGGCCTGGCTCGAGGGCGGCTGCCCTTCCAGGATCGCTTCTTTCGACCACAGGCACCAACATTTCCAGTCTCACGCACCTGCGAATGGCGCATGAGGCTGCTCCCGAGTGGGCGCGTTCGATTCTGGCTTCGGTGACGGGCATCGACGCAAAGCTCTCTTCGTTCCAGATCGAGATCACAGCTTCTGTCACGGAGATGCGCTCGGACTACAGTCAGCTGGCTGCGAGGATGGACATCCTTGAGGCAAGTATGGAGCAATGCCAGTCGAGCGAGGATGCGATGGCCGACCTTTCCGCCGAGGCGGAGCGACAGGTCAGGATGCAGAAGCTCGAGTCCATGGTGCAGAAGTTGGAGAGCCAGCTCAACGACACGCCGGCCGACGGTGGTCCACCCCCTCGCCGTCGTCGTGCGCTCAGCCCCGCTTCGTCCCGTTCGACTGGCCTTTCATCGTCGGATGGTGCTATGGGATCTTCTTCGCAGGAGGGGGCTGCACGTCTGGTACTGCTAGGATTTCCACGTCCGCTCATGCAGGCCACCCTTCGTCGCGCTGCGGAAGTGGTACGTCGCCGCTGCATGCCCCTCCACTCGCAGAATTCGGCGGTGATCAAAGCGTTCGATCTCAACAGGAAGGCGATCTTCGAGTTCAATTACGCATTGGCAGCTTCAGATTTTCTCAGCAACTTCCAGAAGATTGAAGGCGAGCTTCAGTTCCCTGATCCCAAAGGCGGACACTTCGTGCTCAAAGTCCGCAGAGACCTCAAGGTCAAGGATCGTCGTTTGTTTCTCGCGATGGGCAAGCTCAGACAGAAGCTAGAGGCACTGCTCAATGGCAGGTTCACGGTTGGCTCGAACGGACTCGGCGGCGACGTCTACATACTGCGCGGTGAGGGGGACCCTGTACAGTGTGCCCACGTTTCAGTACTCGAAGGTGTGACTGATGTCCAGGTTGAGTTCACCGACTCCACCCTGACGGAGTTTGGCATCCTGGCGGACAAAGCCAGCCTGATGGATGCGGCACAAGTCGCAATGAGGCGTCCCTTTTGAGCATGCACGTAACGGCATTGACAGGGCGACACAGCGCTCGCTTCCTGTTGATTGTTGTTTCCCCTCTTCTCCCTTCTCCCCCTCTTCTTCCACCGACGCTACGGATGATGCGTCTGACAGCTCGGACACGGATGACATTACGGATATTACGGATCTTCCTTTCTCTCCTCTGCGCCCTTTCTCGATGGTCACGTGGAATGCTGCCGCTCTTTTTGCTTCTGTCAGATATGGGGGGGAGGTGGCGAGGGCTCGCTATCGTAAATTCTTGCAGTTGTGTGAACGGTATGACATTGTATATATTCAGGAATGCCATGGGCATGAAGGGGATATCGCATGCCTGAAACAGCAGTTGCGTGGGTGCCACATTGGTGCGACGATGTGTGCGTCGACTGCTGCGGGAGGCGCAGTTACCGTAATTAGTGCCGCGCTCGCTTCTCAGTTCTCTTCTATTCGGCATCGTCCTTTGAGTGAAGGTCGGGTGCTTCTATCGCAATGTGTCGGTCCGCATGGTGCGCTATGTATCGTCAATGTTCACATGCCTAACACGTGTCACGGTCACCTGCAGTATAGGCGAGTGCTCCACACCGTGTGTTGTGCGTTGCCCTCGGCGACGTCTTGTTTCAACCTCATAGGTGGGGACTGGAATTTCGCGCTGGAGGAGGAAGGGAGGCAGTCGGATGATGGTGGGCATTGGGAGGCTGGGGACAGATGGCACACCACATATTTTGGCACGAAGTGCGCGCGTTGGGCTGAACTCTACCAGCCTGATCCGACTCGCTACGGGTGGGGCAACGACGGCAGTACTCATGCGGCGCGCCTTGACCGAATATACACCGATCTTCCGCGTGCCCTCCTCGCCGACCTCACCCTGCAGGCAAAAGTGTGGAGCCGTCCGACGCGGTATGGACCGTCGGATCATCTCCCCGTTGCAGTCTCCTTTCAGGCCTTCAACCCCAGAGAGTCCTCGGCGGCACCTGTGTGGCTCAGCAAGACCCCTGTCTACAAGGATATCGTCTCGGAAGGCCTCCTACAGATCCCCACGGAGTGGAGTCCTCTTCGGCGGCTCGAAGCTGCAAAATCGGCCATGCACGACGCTGTTAGGGCTGCCAAGCGCGCGCTTGCACACAAACCTGCTCGCGCACTTGAAGAACAGCATTTCTGGGCCATGCGTGCAGTGGCGGGGTGGCGCACAGGGAACTTTGACCTGGTGCGTAGTGCGATTGGTGCGCTCCCGATGCTGTTGCAAGTCTTTGATGTGGACCGTGAGGAGTGCACGGACTACGCCCGTCTTCGCGAATATGCCAGGTGGTGCTGGAGGCCCAACTTAACCAGGCTGTTGCAACGACGACTGAGGGGGAGGAGGAGGAGGCTCGGCGGCAGCAGGCCATCTCGCGTGCCCGGTTTAAGATGCAGGTCTGGCGCAAGATGCGACGCCGTGTGCACCTCTCGGGGGTTCTTGCTGATGACGGCTCCCCCTGTGCGACGGTGGAGGAGTCTGGCAACGCTCTTGCTCGCTACTGGGAGGGGGTTTTTGCTGCTAAGGAGGAGGACCTGTCGGGGTGGGAGGAGTTCCTTGAGCACTGCCAGTCTGTTCGGCCTCTGAGTGAGGTGATTCAGTGGAGGATCGAGCGGCGTGACTTTATCTGTGCCATTCGTGCAAAACCCAACGCGGCCCCTGGTCCTGATGGTATTCCTTGCAGCTGTTGGCAGACTGACCTTGCCGCTAACTTGCTCTTTGATGTATATGAGTACCTTTACGACACGAACAGCACAGACTTCCCAATTGACATGCAGCACGTTCTTCTCACCTTCCTCCCCAAGGGTAATCAGGACTCCGACGCGGGCACCGCTGTTTTTCGTTGCGCTAGCAAGGCGCGGCCGTTGGCACTGGCCGACACTTCGTGCAAGGCGCTGTTTGCAGCGATGGGCTTGCCGCTTGCCTCGGTTGCGAAGTCGACAGTTCATGAGATGCAGTCGGGTGGTGTTGGTGGGAGGAGTATCACATCTAACGTGGTGGAGGCTGAGGGATGGGGGCTATCTCAATGGCTTCATGGTAAGCCGCACTCGGCACTCTTGCTCACCGACTTCGCGGCTGCGTTCCCGTCCCTCTTTGCCAGTTGGATTCTCACTGTCCTTAGTACCATGTCTGTTCCTACTCCCATCATCTGCTTCTTTGCTGCCCTCCACACTGACAATGCAGCCACGGTCACTCTGTCTGGGCGGCGCTTGCAGCGCATCAAGATAGAACGAGGAGTGCGACAGGGGGACCCAACTAGCATGTGCCTCTTCGCGTTGGCCCTCGGCCCGATTTTGCGCTGGCTGCTGCTTAAGGGTAGCACACATATCGACAGAGGGCTGGGGTATGCGGATGATCTACTGTTTGGGGTCTGTGATATCCGTACGGGGCTGGTTCCTATTCTCGAGCTCCTGGGGGCCCTGGATAATGCGATTGGTCTTCGGCTTAACTACTCTAAGTGCCAACTGGTATTTACGGGTGGGCAGCCGTGTGATGTGGTGTCTGATTGGCTTCAGGCTCTTGGGGCGCCCTTTGGGTTCCTTCAAGTTGGGCGACGCGCTCGCTACCTGGGGGTGGGAATCGGTCCCGACGGGGGGGTTCATGTGTGGAGGGGGGCCATCGACAAATTCCAACAGCGTGTGCGTGCCTTACGGAATCTTGGGCTCGGTCTTGCGACGACCATCGTCATGTTTACGTCCACTTGCCTGTCCGTGCTTGGGTATCTATTGCAGTTCTATGCCCCGACGCACGAGGTGCACCATGTGTATAATGCGTCTCTTCAGTTGCTCGCTGCTGCCCCGCGGTATTCCTTCTCTACGCAGATGATCTGTGGTCTCAAGGCACTGGGACTGACTGCAGAGTTCCCAGAACTGGGACCTTACGCTCGTGCTGTGCAGTTGCGTGCGGCTGTCACATGCCCTGCTTTTGCTCAGGTCCAGGCGCGGCTGGAGGCCGCCACCTCGACGGAACGGATACGGAATGGGATGGAGGATGGGGTATGCATTGCTAGGACACTGACTGGGTGGTGGAGGGACTCTTTTGTCCGACAGATGTGCATTGTGTGCAACGGCTGTCAGCAGATCACAGAAGCGGCCCCGCACGATTTCCCTAAGAAGAAGCTCCAGCGTCGGTTCCTGAAGGCCCTCATCGCTCGGGACCCCGTGGACCTCGCCGATTGTCCTGAAACTGGGCTCCTCCGCAGGATCTCCTCCTGGCTCCCTGCCCCCTGCCCCATCGAGGTTGCCCACGTGATCGGGGAAATCCGTTACCCAACGAAACGTACGAATATGTATATTGAGTTGGCTCCGTTGCGGATCGCGTGCCGTGGTGTGTGTACGACTTCGCGTTTCCATGCGACTTCTCGGGGTTGCATCTTTGGGTGTGTGTGTGTCGGAGGTCCCTGGAGCGGACCTCGATGATATGCGACATTACATCGTTTGCCCGCGTCTCCTGGACATTGCAAGGCTCTGGCTGGGTGCGATAGTGGATTGTGCCGACACTAGTCCGATCTCCTCTCTCCTCCTCCTTGCTGTGCACCCTTCTGTGGAGGCAGTGCTGTGCTGCGCGTCGTTTTGCGAAGCTTTTTTACATACGCACTCTCAGAAGAGGGTTGGCAGTGACGCCGACCCCGCGAGACTCTTCGAGGCGCGCATGCGCCTCCACTGCATGCGCCACCGCGCACCGCAGACAGCCTGGACACATTTCACTGCCGCAAGGCTCGCTGTGGGGCAATCAGCAGGCTAGCGGGGGTTTTATATAAAAATGATGACGATGATGACGATGGTGACGGTGATGATGATGATGATGATGATAATGATAATGATGATGATGATGCTGATGCTGATGCTGATGCTGATGATGCTGATGATGATGCTGATGATGATGATGCTGATGGTGAGGCTGATGGTGATGATGCTGCTGATGATGATGATGTTGTTGTTGTTGGTGTTGTTGTTGACAGTGATGGTGGTGATGTTGTTGATAATGAAGATGAAGATGATGATGATGATGATGATGATGGTGACGATGACGATGATGATGATGATGGTGATGATGACGAAGAGGTACTACCGTCACCTCCGCCCTTTTACGCCATCGCACTGCTATCAGAGTCCATTGAGGATACACACGTGCATCGCTTATGTACTTGTATTCGTATACATAAGAATCGGTCGGTAAATGTGTGTATTCATATGTGTATGTATGTGTGTATACACAGAAGTATGACGGGGGCGCGTTTTCGGCCCCTGGGGGCCCTCGCCAGGCTCTGGAACGGCCAAGCACCGACCCCCGATGGAAAACTGGCCCCAGGGGGACAGGGTCGGGACGTTTGAGGGCCCCGTGGGAGGGAGGAGGAGGAGGAGGAGGAGGAGGAGGGAGGGAGGAGGAGGGAGGAGGAGGATGAGGAGGAGGATGAGGAGGGAGGAGGAGAGGAGGAGGAGGAGAGGAGGAGGAGGAGGACGAGGAGGAGGAGGAGGAGGAGGAGGAGGAAGAGAAGAAGAGGCGGAGGAGGAGGAGGAGGAGGAGGAGGAGGAGGAGGAGGAGGAGGAGGAGGAAGGGATCGAGACATCCCTTGTCTGGGATCATAAACTTTCGCAGCTCCGCGCGGATTTCTTGAACCTGCGCCTGGGCTTTCCCGTGGCGGCGCCTCCGGCGCCGCCCCTGGTGTGGATCCGAGAAAGCCGCGCGGAGCTCCGACAGTTTATGCTTGCGCGTTTTTTTTTCGCTCTCGAAGAAGCAAGAACGCCATGGGTTCGCGCTGGGCCCCCTTGGCGGCGCCTCCAGCGCCGCTCCTGGCGCGCTCCGCGCGCCAGGTAGGCGGGGTCCAGCGCAGATCCAAGAAATTCGCGCGGAGCGCCAACAGTTTATGTTTATGTGTCTTCCTTCTTTTGTTTTTGTTCGTCCCAGGCACGGGCAAGACGTGCGTGTTCTGCTTGGGCGCGCTGCAGACGGTGGACACCAAGGAGCGGGATCCGCAGGTGCGCCTCTCGATCCGTATCGATTGGACTGTGGTTTCTCCTGCTTCTTCATGTCCCGTCCTCCTCACCCATTCCTCTTCCCTATTGATAACTCGGCTTCGTCGCGCCCCCAGACGTGTTGGTAGGGCGGGCCGGGCGTTTCGTCTGAAGCCTCGCCACCGATAGTGATCCGTAAGCTTGGAGTTCGCAGCAGATTCACAGATGAAGGACGGATGGTGTTATCTCTTCGGTTCCCATTGGGGCGCCGTGCACAGTGTTTGAAACATTGAAGCCGTTTGACCTGTGGAGGGCGGTTGGTTTTCAAAATGTGCTTTTCGCCTCGCGCCGCGCACGTTCGTTTGAATGTGTGCAGCGGTTTCAAGGATGGAGGGCGGGCCGTTTTCAACATGCGGCTCTCGCTAGGAGGAGGAGGTGGAGGAGGAGGAGGAGGAGGAGGAGGGAGGAGGAGGAGCAGGAGGAGGAGCAGGAGGAGGAGGAGGAGGAGGAGGATGAGGAGGGAGGAGGAGGAGGAGGAGGAGGAGGAGTAGGAGAGGAGGAGGGAGGAGGAGGAGGAGGATGAGGAGGAGGAGGAGGAGGAGGAGGAGGAGGGAGGGAGGAGGAGGAGGGAGGACATTCGTTCTCAAAATTCGCAGCAGCTTCACGCATGGAGGGCGGTTCCTTCTCAAAATGTAGCTCTCGACTTAGAACAGCGCGCATGTTCGTTTTTGAAGTTCGCAACGCTTTCACGGCTCCGTAGGGCTGAAGTTATAGGAATGACGTTTTGGCACGATTTGCGACAGTCAGTTTGATTCACTGCGTTGGCGTCCCAGGAAGGGTGTTGTGGAACGGTGCAGAATTGGTTGGACGCAACAGTCCCCATTGATTCGCGGCCTTCAAATTCGCCGACCCTGTCGGCGTGTGCGAGGGGCTTGGCTGTTCGAGTCGTCGTCTCCGTCGGTCGTCGCCTCCGTCGTCCCCTTTCCCTGCAGCTTCCTTCTCAAGCTCGTGAGCGAGAGAAAAATCTAGCAGTGTCGTAATCGAGTCGAAGGGAAGCCCCTTCCCTTCGATCCCTTCCCCAGGGGGGGGGGTCCGGGGGGGTGGGGGGGGTCCCGGGGGGGGGGGGGGGGGGGGGGGGGCAGATTCGTTTTTCCTCGGGCGGCCTAGAAACCTCGAAAACACTCCAAATGAGGTCCGAATGCCCAAGATGGCCCCCGAGACGGCCCAAGAGGGCCCCGAGTCGCCCAAAGATCGGCCGAAAACGCCCACGATAGCCCCAAGACCGTCCAAGAAGCCTCCAAGACGTCCCAGGCCCCCTCCAAGAGACCCCCAGGAAGCCCCAAGAGGCCCCCACGAGGCTTCCAAGCGGCCCCTAAGAGCTTCCCAAGAGGCTCACAAACTACCCCCAAGAGGCCCCCAAGAGCGCTCGTCGTCGTCGTCGTCGTCGTCGCCATTCAGTGTCGGCGGCACCGGCCGTAAAGCCTTCGCAATCCCAGAAATGGTGTTTTAGCACGAGTGAGTATTCTTAGACGGTTGTTTTTCAACGGGGCACTTCCCACAATGAAAGCAAATTCTTGTAGGTGCATTAAAAGAGGGGCTTTGGAGGGAGGGTTCATTGCAACATCCTTGGTGCGACTGCGGTTTGCACTGGTCCTCCTCCTCCTCCTCCTCCTCCTCCTCCTCCTCCTCCTCTTCCTCCTCTTTCCTCCTCGTGCCGAGTAAATCTCACGATTTTAGTGGCAGGGTGGTTAGGTTTGCAAATGCGAGCTGATGGGTGAGAAGTCAGAGGCCTGGTCAAGGGTGCGTTTTGCGTGGGGGAAGACAACGCAGGTGCTCCGCTCGCTGCGAAGCCAGCGCGGTGCGAGGCCTTCGGGCATCGTCGGCCTCGGGGGGATCCTTTCGGAGCCCCTGGGGGGGCGTCAAGAGACTGCCGGGGATGCTGGGGAGTCGAGATCGACAACTGTCCGATGTGCTCCTCGCGTGGCTGCTGTCGTCGTGGATGTGGTGAGCGGTTCGGCAAGGGCAGCCGGCCCACCGGAGCCACTCCCGGGTCCGCAGGTGCTCTTCCTTTCGCCCACGCGCGAGCTGGCGGAGCAGAGCCAGAAGGTCTGCCTCGCGCTGGGCGACTACCTGAACGTGCAGGTGCACTGCTGCATCGGCGGCAAACGCGTGTCCGATGACATTCACACCTTCGAGGCCGGCGTCCACATCGTGTCCGGGACCCCGGGGCGAGTGTTCCACATGATCCAGCAGAGGCACTTCAGCACCCGCAAGATCAAGATGCTCGTCCTGGACGAGGCCGACGAGATGCTCAACCGGGGCTTCAAGGAGCAGGTCTACGACATCTACCGGTACCTGCCGCCCTCCACGCAGGTAGTGCTGGTGTCCGCCACAATGCCGCACGAGGTGATGGGCCTGTTTTCCACCACCACCACCATAAGTTGGAGGGGGGAGGTGGTCCTCCTCCTCCTCCTCCTCCTCCTCCTCCTCCTGCTCCTCCTCTTTCTCGTCCTCCTCCTCCTCGTCCTCAACCATCTCCTTCCCCCCTCCAACTTATGGTGGTGGTGGTGGAAAACAGGCCCATCAAGGTCCTCGAGATGACCCACAAGTTCATGAACAACCCGTTCCGCGTGCTGGTGAAGCGCGACGAGCTGACCTTGGACGGCATCAAGCAGTTCTTCGTCGCCATCGAGCGCGAGCAGTGGAAGTTCGACACGCTCTGCGACCTCTACGATACCCTGACCATCACCCAGGCGGTGATCTTCTGCAACACCAAGCAGAAGGTCGACTGGCTGACGCAGAAGATGCGCGACGCGAACTTCACCGTCGCCGCCATCCACGGCGACATGCCCCAGAAGGAGCGCGACGCGATCATGCAGCAGTTCCGCTCGGGTTCCAGCCGGGTGCTGATCCGGAAGGAGAGAAGGCTGCGCAAAGCAAAGCCTTCGGGAGGCCCGCGCGGAGTTGTTGGATCTGCGCCGGGCCCCCCGTCGCGCCAAGGTCAGCGCTGGAGGCGCCACGGGGGGGGGCCCAGCGTCGACCCAAGAAATCCCCGCGGACCTCCGGCAGCTTCTTGCCTGTGCAGAGCTCGCCTCTTCCGTGATCTCCACGGACCTGTGGGGCCGGGGGCTGGACGTGCAGCAGGTGAGCGACGGAAGACAGTGGGGTTGTTGGCGCCGACGTTCGCCCGTCAGCTTCCCGCGTGCGCCCGCGCGTGAGCGCCCGCCCTTTTCCCGAGTGCAGCGTGCCACGCTGGCGGCCCGCGTGAGCCGTGGCGTAAGGTCGCGATGTCTTCTCGCGTAACACCCGTTCGTTTTCCTGGCTCAGGTGTCCCTGGTGATCTGCTACGACCTGCCCAACAACCGCGAGCTGTACATCCACCGCATCGGCCGCTCCGGCCGCTTCGGCCGCAAGGGCGTGGCGATCAACTTCGTGAAGAATGACGACATCCGCATCCTGCGCGACATCGAGCAGTTCTACTCCACCCAGATCGACGAGATGCCGATGAACGTGGCCGACCTGATCTAAGCCGGGGGGAGAAAAGCACTGCAGAAGCACAATCGACTACACGTGAGAGGGACATTTCGCCTGAGTGACCTTTGGTGCGTGCCCATGGGGGTCCCCTGATCGCCGAACGTGGTGCGATAGTAGCGTCTTGCGTGCTTGTGCTTGGTTCCCCCGCGGCCCCCAAAGGTCTTGTGCTTGTGCTTGTGCTTGTGCTTGTGCTTGTGCTTGGTCCCCAAAGCCGCGCACCAAAGGTCAGTTTTACTCCGGGTCATTCTTGCGTGCAGCCGACGGGCGGATGTCCTGGATCTGCGCCATCCCCCCATGGCGGCGCCTCCAGCGCCGCCCCTGACGCGCTCCGTGCGTCAGCGAGGGGGGCCCGAGAAGCCCTCGCAGTCCTTCGAGGAGGAGGAGGAGGAGGAGGAGGAGGAGGAGGAGGAGGAGGAGGAGGAGGAGGACCACGACAACGACGACCACGACGACGACGATGGCAATCGCGTATTGGCCCCCTCCCACGGGATGCTTTCTTCGGGCTGAAATCTATCGTCTGTGATTCGGGATCTCTGTTGCTTGAGCTTAGCACGCCGCTCACGGCCCACCACTACTGGCCCCTCTGCTCGCAGTGGGTCCCCGTCACCGGGGATAAGGTGGTGGTCATCTCCGACACGGCGCCGGCGACATGGACCGACGCGATGACGAAGGCCATGCAGGAGGAGCCTTCGGAGACAGGCTCGCGGCTCAAGTGGAAGGCCTCCCGCAACGGTGGCAGGGTCGTGGCAACTCCCCATGCCACCGCGCAGGCTCTTGCGGCCTCCCGCAAGGGCGGCACTTCCCCTCTGACATCTTTGGACTTCCAGGTCGACGTCCGCATCTTGGGGGAGACGGGCAGGGAGGATGGAAAGGTCCTGGGGCGCGTCATGCAGCATGTCATCCAGGCGACGGGGCTCCAGCTGACCGAGTGCAATTACACCTCCCCGCCCAAACCAGGTCAATTCCAGCATTTGGCCACGGCGGATCCCTCTGCCCCTCCAGGGAGGGTCAGGGCCTTCCTCGCATCGCTTGAAGATGTCCGTCGGGTTTACGCCGCCTTGCAGGGTCAGACTGTCAAGATCGGCATTGACACCGTCGCCATCGAGGTCACCAGCGACATCGTGGACGCTGCGACGGTGCCGGGGGGCTCCAGGCGGCGGCAGTGAGCGCCGGCTGCCCCCGCGAACATCACAGGTGCGATCTGCATGAGGGAATTCAGGTTTGGGATCCTGACGGCTCCTCGTACTTCGTTCTGGACCTCGTCTTGCGTCTCCGCTCTGCTTCTGCTGAGCCGTGCCGCCGGTCCCAGGTTGCGGATGAGGATTGGAGGTCTGAAGGATTTTCTGAGGGCATTCGCCGAGCGGCCTCGCGTTCTCGCTCTCCTTTGCGCGACAATCGTTCTTCCATTAATTCGCATTGTGTTTTGAATTCGTCTGAGCGTCGCAGGTTGGGTGTTTTTTTCAATGATGGGAGGGTTGCACCCTCCCTGCCAGAGCTGAGGTGGAGCCAGGGCGAGCTTCTTCCACGTGACCTTGAGGCGCTCCACTGCCGGGACGTGCCCCTCACATTCTACCAGCAACATCAGCTTCGTCGTGCTCTTGGCGCGCTTCCTCCACATGCTGCACTTCTTCCGGGCCAGCTGGATCCTCCTGACCGCGGTCACGATCCGCCGCGTGCCGGCCAGTTCACGGGCAGCTACCGGGTGATCACTTGGAATGCGCAGGCTTTCTTCGCTTCCAACCGGGCCCGCGCGCTGGGGAAGCAGGCCTTCGCCGCCAAGCTCCTGCAGAGGGCGGACATCGTGCTGATCACGGAGGCGCACGGCACCGCTGGTACGCACGAGGTTTGGCAACCTCCCCCGGGCGTGTCGGCCTGGTGGTCAGCAGGCGCCACGACAGCACATGCAGGCGTCGGCATCCTGGTGAACAACAGCTTCCTGGCGCAGTTCGAGCCCAACCCCACGATTGATGAAATCTGGCCAGGTCGGGCCTTGAGGCTGCGCCTGCAGGGGAAAAACGGCGCCCTCGACCTCTTTGTGGCGTATTTCCACACGGGCAACGTTGTCGGCGAGGCGGACTTGCACGGCGTATCTCCAGCATGGCGGGATCGATGCACTACCTTCCCTCAACTGCGGATGCATCTTCGCCATCGCGTTGCGCAGGCGGTTCGCCCGCAGAACGAGGCCCTCACCATCATCGGAGGGGATTTCAACTGGACCGTGCAGGAGCAGGACAGGCGTTCGAAAATTACCATGCACACATCAGGTCGAGGCGGGGCGGCGGAGGAGAAACACTTCCTGAGCTGCACGCGAGGCTTCGAGGAGCTATTCCAAGAGGAGATGACTCATGAGTGCGAGTCGGCTTTCTCGCGCATCGACCGTTTATATTCCAACCAGCACGCGGTGGAGACGATCGACCGGGAGTTCCGCGTGGCAGCGCTGGAGTGGCGACGGGATCTCTCCAATCATCGGCCTGTGTTCGCTTGCCGGCGGACGCCTGATAGGTCCGCTGCGGGCCTCAAGCCCCTCTCCGCCGACGCTTACCAGCACCCTGACTTTGTTCGACGAGTCAAGTTGGAGATGCAGGAGAGGCTGGCGGACGCCACGAACATCTCGGCTTTGGGCTGTCTCCGCTTGTTGAAGACGGTGATGCGGGACGTCGCCTCGGGCCTTGCTCGGGAGTCCACGGGCTTCCAGGCGGCCGCGGACGACGAGGACAAGCTGGGGGTAGTGATGCGCTTTTTACGGGCGGCCGAACAAAGATGCCTCTCTGCCATATCTCGGTGCTTGATTCGATACCCTCGCATCTCAGAGTTCGTGTGCAATCCGTATGACTTTGATGCCAACCTCTCTTCCTCCCTGCTCTGACTTCGCGATCACGCTGTGGAGCTCGCGCGGGACATCGCGTTGACCAGAATGCAGGCGTCCCGCGACGACGACGGCGACGACTGGATGGAGAAGAACAGGAAGCGGAAGAAGGGCTCGCGGCTCCTTTTCCGGCTGAGTCCAGGCAGGGGCGGCGGCCTCGGCGCCATCGTCGACAGGCACGGCCGGGTGGTCACCGACTCGCGCGGCATGGCGAACATATTGCGGAGCCACTGGGCGGCGACATTCGCAGCGACAGGCGTGGACGAGAACAAGCTCGGCGACTGGCTTGCGGACGACGCGGCGGCCAGAGCTGCAAGTGGCCCGCCTCGTCTTGATTGGGGTGGCTTCCGGATTCGCCGGAAGGATATTTCGGCGGCCATCCGTCAGGCTAAAAATTGCTCTCCGGGACCCGACGGGATCCCCTACGGGGCCTGGCGTGCCCTGGGCAGCCTTGCCGTGGATACCCTGCACAACGCATTGCGTGATCTGGCATCACCGGATGGGCAGCGCATCCTGGAGCAGGATTTCCCGGACTTCAACGAGAGCTTGCTGTTCTTCCTCCCCAAATCCTCCAATGCTGCCGCCCCGGATGGCACCCCGGCGTACGAGGCGCAGAATGTCCGGCCCTTGAACGTCACGAATTGCGACAACCGTCTGATCGCCAGCGCTGTCCGGATCGCGCTGGAGCACAAGATCGCGCCTACGTTCACGCAGGCCCAACGGGGGTTCTTACGAGGACGCTCCATGCTGGCCAACGTCGTGGACGTGGACGAGGCGATGGCGATGGCGGCCTTGAGCGGGGACACGGGCTTGGCCTTCTCCTTTGACCTGGCGGCCGCGTTCCCGTCGGTGGAGCACAGATTCTTCATGGCTTTCTTCGAGTCGCTGGGCTGGCCCGCTTGGCTCCTCAGAATCATCCGCAACCTATACCACCGTAACTTATGTTGGATTTTCTTGGCTGGGGAACGCATGGGGGGATTTTCTTTGACACGGGGCATCCGGCAAGGTTGCCCTCTCTCACCCTTGCTATTCGCCATGGCAACGGACCTCATCCTCCGACGTTTGTCCAGGACCACACCGGGCGCGACCATCAGGGCTTGGGCGGACGACATGGCGCTAGTACTGCCCAACTTCCGCGACAGGCTCGGGGCCCTCCAGGAGTTTTTCCTTGAGCTGCAAAGGGTGGCTGGCCTGCGTCTCAACGTTCCCAAGACGGTCGCGATGCCTCTGTGGCAGTTCGAGGAGGACGAGGTGCGGGCCATCCTGGTGAACGAGGCTCCCGAATGGGGCGGGGTCAAGATCTCCTCCTACATGAAGTACTTGGGCTTCATGGTGGGTCCTGGCCGGAAAGACACTTCATGGTCCGCCCCTGTGGCCAAGTACATCGACCGGGCACGTCTTTGGGGCTCCCGGGGATTGGGACTTCTGCTCGCCCTGCAGGCGTACAGGGTGTTCATCTCATCCACCCTGCAGTTCGTGGCGCAGTTGGAAGAGCTACCAGGCGATTTCAAGGAGATGGAGGAGAGGGCGGCGCGCCTACTGCTGCCTGGCCCAGGGGGCTGGCTGTCTGCGGCCGCGGCCAAGGACTTGAAGGCGGTTCACTTTCCGGACCAGCTGGTGGACATGTCTGCTGTGGCCGTGGCCGCCAAAGCCCGGGTCCATCGATTCGAGGCGGACTCCATGGGAGGTCTGCAAGTGGAGGACCGCATCCGTCGATTGGAGGAACCACCACTGGCTCACTGCTCCCTGGCCCACAGCGCCTGGGTGTCGCAGTGGGTGCGCAACTCGTTTTTGCACATCTTGTCCCGGGCGGCTGCTCACGCCAGCATGCTGCTGCAGCGCGCCGCCGGCGTGCGCTCGTGGATCAGCCTGCAGGCGGGATGGCAGGGCCAGATGACGAAATTGCTGGCTGTCGGCTGCAGGGGCGAGGCCATGCGGCACTTCCGCCGGAAGCTGGACAGG